AGAGGAGAATTCTATGTACATGACTTTTTCCTGATTAATTCCAGCAACAGAATATATATCTAGTGTGTTTACACTATATAAATTATTATTACATCAAATTAAACTCGATACATAACTCTTAAATTTTTTTCCAAGCTTTAAGCAAGGAGCTGCAGGACTTTGCCATCTGATACAGCTCTGCTGTCACGGTTTATGGAGCAAATGACTAAGAGCTCGGAAATTTTACTGGATGAACCTCAGCAAAGTGCTTGGGGCTAGTTTCTCAACATGAGGACATCTGAGAGTACGGCTACATGGCAGGCATGCCACAATGGTAGCTCGTGTCAACACTTCACTGGGGTCAATAAAGGCACAAGCTGCCTCAAATTACCTGGTGTTCACCACGGGGTAAAGGGAACGCAGCCAGGACGCCATGGAGCAGCTGGTTACCCGTGTGTCCACAGCCTTGCTCACCCAAAGATCATCTGCCCCAAAACCGCAATCAAAGTCTCCCAGCAGCCTTCAAGGTACTTGATCCTAAGGTATCTCCACCCCAGCCAGGCACAGTGCACATGGATCCAGTGGGATGAGAGTGATGGGCTTTAACTCTGCCTGGTTGCAAACACATCCTCAGCGCAGACACAACCTGTTTTAAGACTCCTCTGACACATGGCTGTATGTTTAGGGAAAGGCAAAAAAGCACCCAAAAGAACAGCCCCCTCCAGGAGAAACCAACTAATTCGCAACACGTGCTTTGGTACAGAAAGGTGTGGAGAACATGGCTTTCCCTTTCAGGGAAAAATCTCAGAAAAGCAGAGAACTAGACACTGTTTTTTCAGCAATATTTAGTCTAACTCAGCCCCCACATAAGTTAACTTTTGCACTGAAAGAAGTACACTCTGTAAACTTTTAAGAGTTGGTTTTTTTCTTTATATCCTCTCCAGAGTATTCAAAAAAGCTGAACAAGAGCAGTATGTCCTCGGGTCACTCTACAATAACGAGTGTCTGCTGAGCCACAAGAGTTAGACTCACTCTGCTGTTTCCAAAGTTGTGTTTCCACCTGTGTGTTACTGATGCCCCAACAACAAACAGAATAAACCCTACCCTTTGAGTCTCCTTCTCTGCAGACATTCAAAACCCACCTGGACGTGTTCCTGTGTGACCTGGTCTGGTGATCCTGCTCTGGCAGGGGTTGGACTGGATGAGCTTTAGAGGTCCCTTCCAACTCCTGAGATACTGTGATTCTGTGATACATTGTCACAACTGTGACACAATACATAAACATACACATACTCAGGAAAAAGGTCAGTTTAAAACAAGTATTTCAATAATAAGTGAGTGTTACAAAATAGTATTTTTCCTCCTAAATGCATGGATAAAGAACCTTTTGCTACTCTCTGAATTTGGCCTTCACAGCTACATCATCAAGCAATGTCCTACCCAATAAAAATATTTCCACAGAATTTAATAACTACATCTATAGCACCTTGTCTGAGATTCAAAGACCTTGGAAATTAAAATATGGCAAGAGTAGAATTTATGACAACTCTGTGAAGTAATGTCTATACCTACATTCCCTCTTAATGTCACGACTAATTTACTGCTAGGTCTATACCGTAACAAACTTAAAAACAGATTACTGGTTCTCTCCAAGTACAATGCCCCCCCCAGCAGGCAAGCTTTTGGCCCCTGTGCCTGCTGAGCAATTTTCTGCCTTTTACTGAAAGATGGCAACCTAAGTAAGTCAGCAGTGCTCGGATATGTTAAAAGCTCCAAGCTCTTTGCAGCACTCCCTGTAAGCCATAAGCAAATGCAATATTGCCGACCGGCTTGTCATCACCCTCTTCCTGCCCTTCCCAGCACATCTATTCCTCATGAAGGGATCTTTTCTCTCCAGTAGCACCCTTGAGATACTGAAACCTCACAGCTCCGGTATTTGACTTCTGCTCTGTTATACAAAATAGCTGGGGAAGATGTCTGCTGTTACACAGACAATTCTATTTATGAATAAAAAATGACTCCCAGAGCTGGCATTTCCAATATATTTTTTATTTCAAGGATCATTAATCTTTATAAAGGACAGAGTTCTGAGTTACAACTAACTGCTGTCAGCACAATGTGCCAAAGCCATTGCCTAAAGTAACAGCACTTCTATGCTGAATGGTATCATGTACAAGACATTTATCGAAAGGGAGAAAAATCCCATAAATACCAGTTTTGCTGATACAGATGCACATGATGATTCCATGTTTTCAGTAAAATAAACTGAAATGGATTGAGTTCAATGGATGCAACTTTGATGACCCTTTTCCATTACATACTTGAGAAAGTTAAGAGATGCAAACTGTGTGGTTTTAAAATTCTGAGAAAATAAAACCTGCACCATTTTCCAAGAATTATTCCATATCCAAGCAGATCTCCATTACACCCAATCTTCCCTAAGATCACCCATTGCTATTCTTAATCATACTCCTTCACAAGTCTAAATAACCTTTTGTAAGCTTCAAACAACACAGACTACATTCTCATTCGGTCACTGCTTCAGTAGTGTTTACTGGCACATTTACATACAGAAATTGATTGCAATAGGGCTTCCAGAAGAGCTGGTGTGCAAACACTCTGTATCACAATAAATGGCTGTATAAGTAAGCACATAAATTACTGATAAATAAAAGTACTTTTATTCTTTCACTTTATGTCTATAACAAGAAGTCTTCTTATCAGAAAACACAAGAAGCGAATAATTTGCTCTGTCAGTCCTCTTAGTTCAACCATCCTTAGCCCTTCTGTGGATTTCTTCAGGCTTGCCTGGTATCTTTTTGGGTTTTCTCTGGAAACAATAGGATATTGTCATGGTGGCAGAGGACCACATCTTGCATACTGCTTGCGTGAGAAGATCTCTGCATGCGTACCTGGGGCTGCAGCCTGAATTCACTGCAGTTTCCTACTCATTTTCAGCAACACCCCAATGAGGGGTTCAAGAAGTCAGAACAAGAAAAGAGGATTTCTGTAAAGGTCACATTCAAGTGCTTCTAAACAAGTGATTATTTTCAATCCCAACCTCTTTGGTATCAACTGAAACTTCACCTGAGAAAATGGTTCCAGGACTCTGCCCACTGGTTTGTTTGTACAGCGCTACAGGAAATATGTAAATAGATTAAATGTATGACAACGTGCCAAGCATTTGAGAATGTCTGCATACTCGTTTCTGAAATATTCTCTGCTACACAGTAATGACTGCCAGAGCCTAACTCTACAAAAGTCAGCACTAAAACCCTCTCTGAAAACAGACACCACGTGCTGTCTGATGGGCTTGCTCACCATTCTCTCAGGACCATCACCCATGTTCTCATATTATCAGCCTTTTCTCAGAACGAAGCCAGTCTGAAAGCACATTAAGCACCACACACCAGGTTACAGATACAACGGGTGACAGCCCAGGAGAAAGCACATTCAATGCTTAGCTGCCCAAATGTGAACAGAACAAATACTTCTCACTGTCATTCGTAAATTATGTCTTCTGACAAGAATTCAGATTTAGAGCCTGAACCTCCCACTCTATGCCGAGCAGATCTGAGCAGACAGCTCTGTTACCCACAGTGAGAGTTGTTCTTGCAACTGCATTTAGACTCAAAGTAAAAACAAAAATCAGCTCACTACAGGATCTCATTCTTCGTGCTCACCTTTCTCACTTAAAGTTCTCAAAAACCAAGGATATTTATTCTTCAGTTTAAACCTTTTCCCATCTATCAATTTATTTCAATTGCTTGAGCAATGAAATATAATGAGCTATCAAAGCTGAAGCAAAGAAACAAAGCAATAAAAGCTTTCCTAAAATGATAACATGCTAGGACATTTACTTTCTTCTCTGTAAGGGCAAACAAACTTGAGCTTTCACTTCAAGAGAATTTATGAGAAAGAAACATTATTTTTCATAGACAATTAACACTTCACATTTGCAACTCTACTAAGCCTAGTCAAATTGTCTTTATTTGCCAGAATATTCAGAGTTTGTCCAGTAAAAGAAAGGATCTGACTCCAGCAGAAAGAAGTATTTTCTAAAATAAAGCTGCACTGAACAAGCAAGATTTACACTACTAACATGGCACAGCTCTGAAGCCACATGGGGAAATTTTAACATTTATATCCCTGCTAACTAGAGAAAGGCTCAAACCAAAACCACAAATATGGAGAAAGTCTGAACCCAGATCAGAATTTCATAGCTCACACCACAACTCTTCTCTTAACAATGGCTGGAAAATGGTTTTCAAAACTCCTACAGTATTTGTTCCATACACAGGAAATGGGTTTAATAGTACATCTTTGGGGATTAGATTTGTTTAGCTGCCCAAGCCTTTGATTCCAAGCCTGCAGATAGCATAGCTTTAGTTGTTGCCCAGAAACAGCCCTATTTCCTGACAGGACACCTCCCTCGCTCACACGCTTATTCACCTTAATCCCCGTTAACTTTATAGGATGCTACACTGCACGTATCACTGGCTGTAAAGGCAGCCCTTCATACTGGTTTCTTGGCCTTCCTCTATTCACAGCATGAAAATGGTGAAGACAAATATACCGCTGAAGGACAGGCACTGGGAAGTTGGAAAAAAGGCATTACATTCTTACAGAGGAATTCTTCATTTCTGGACAACATAAAGCCACTCCCGAGGATTAATTTACTGCTTTTCTGCTCCAGCATAGTGGGCTGCATTATGACTCTATAATTCACTGCGAGCAGAGCAGCAGACGAGAGCTGCGCTGCCCCTGGAGCCACCAGAAGTGACGGATGCACAGGTTTCTTCCCAATTTGCTCACCTCGGCACTGTCCTCTTCCCCAAAGTGATTCTACTCCTGAGCTGGACTATGCTTTGCTGTCTTTCCACTCACAAATAGGCAAGTAAGGAAGTAGGAGACATGATGAGAAACTTCTTATGCCCCAAAAATATGTATGTTATACATAGTTTTTGTCAGCAATGTGTACAGTGGGTGTGGAACGGGTAGGTTGTATGTACGGTACATACTTGCCTCAAATGTTCTGGTATGGTGGGGTAGCCTTGCAAGATGGCAAATGGGGTCTTGATGTTCCACACCCACATGTGCACCCTGCTAGTTAGACCACCACACAGCTTTGTTTCTCCACCAATATTTAGTTTCTGAGAAATGTAGCATTTAAACTGGGATAAGGCAAAGGCAATAGCCGTTAAAACAGAAGTCTCTGACACGTACAGCCTTGAGACCTGAGGAACTGGGAGGGAACAAAGGAAGCACAGGGCAACCGCTGGGAAAAGCATCATCTGTGGGCAATAGGTGGTGAAGAAAACTGTAAGTCTCCAAAGGGAAAGAAAAACAACAACAAATGCCCGTATCTGACACGCAGTACAGCAACTCCAGCCAGGCTGGCCAAACTCTCCAAAACCACAGAGCAGCTAGCTTGAAACGATCCTTACAATTCAACACACAGATAAATCATCCTTAAATACACAATAACAGGTTGTGAGATGCCATTAAATCCTCTTTAGATGGACAGAATTTGTCTGAAATCTCCTTATACTGATACGGAGGGGGGAGCAAGGAGCTATGGGCTGGGCTGGGCCTGGCAGCAGACACAGGGCTGCAGGGGAGCACTCAGGGCTGCCAGGCTCCAGGACAAGCAGGGCTTCCTTAGCACCGCACATTTCACTGTGCTCTCGCTTGTTTAAAAGGACATATGACATAATTCACAGCAGAGAATCCAGTGGCAACAACTAAACAGCTTGGGAGTACCCATCACTGACCATCAGTCATAATTTCCATTGGTGGATGATCCATGGCTGCCAGCACCAGGAGGGAAGAGGTGTTAATCAACCTGTAAACCTGCTCCACATCCTGCTCCAGATAGCACAAAGGCCCACCAGAGTAGTAGCCATAGTTCACCCTCATTATAAGGCTCTCCATTACAAAGCCAGGGCAAACAAAAGCCTACTGCTTTGACTCTCCACTCTACTCCACTTCATTGTAAACATTTTGACATGCGTTTCACTTTCGTACAAACTCTGCTGCTCTGAAGAACAACCTTCAGGAGAGGGTAATTTCATTATTCAAGCAAGTGCCAGAAAAAAGCTCATCTTCCTACAAAGTCACAAGTCTAGCTGGTGCATGAGAGCTCATCTTCAGTCGAATTTTTAACAAACGTTTTCCTTCACCCTTTAGTGATGTCTGCGCAGCCCATTTCATCTGGTAACACTGGTAAAAGTCTGGCATTCTCATGTATATAATTTACCTGTTATGATTTAGACATATGCTAGCCATATGCTCTATGGTCTATATATTCCTACTCATCTTGCACTGAATTTATGTGTGTTACCAAAAGCAAGGTACAGCAATAAGCAGGAAGTCCGCATCACTTGAATATACTTGTCCTTGGACAGGCATCCACAAGGAGTGGGGATAGAGCTCACACATTAAAGACATGTCCCTCCCACCACCTCCTAACCTTGTCCAAACTCTTGTTCAGATGAAGAGGAAATAAAATGTCTTCTTTTTTTCTTCATATGTTAAAACTTCTTTAATACAAACTTTTTAGAATTAGATGTCTTGGGCCACTGTATTGTGCCAACAGCAGGACAGTTCAGAAAGGCCCCTTTCCAAAAGGATTTCAGGAAGATTACTGTAGAGCAAAAGAAGAAACAATGTAAGGGGTGTTTTTGCAAATGGGGATTATATAAACTCCAAGGGGAATTCAAACATTCTTTTTCATTCTTCTTTTCTTACTTTGCTCAGGAAAGTAGGCAATAAATACCTGGCTTATTCATAAAAACACAGCAATGAATTAAGTGTACAGCTGGCACTGAAGTTCTTCGTGAACTTGAAATATTTCTTTGTCTGCCTCCACAGCCTAGGTTGGTAAAAGGATAAAACCTATCCTTCCCTGATGGAGAAGAGAGCAAAAGTGGACAAAACTGGTAGTTTCAGAGAGAAGACAAATGAGGCTAAATGTGTGGCAGGTACTTGGCTGTCTTGGGTCTCTGTGAAGATTCAGGTCTGAGCAACTTGAGAAAGGCTACACAGGTAAAGCTACGGGCTAGGCGAGAACACACGGCTCCTGCATCTCATTCTTAAGTTATTTAAGCTCAGAGTTCCAGAGATGGCGTAACAGCACAGCAATAGCTATGTCTGACCACCCACACCACAAACACCTCCACACTTCACATCCAAGCCCACAGAGCAGTTTGCTCATTCAGACAACTTCAAAGCCTACCTACCTTGTGATTCAGAGTGCTTAAGAAAGCTGGTTTTAGCCTATTATCCTATCTCCTTAAGTGTAACAGGACTGACAGCCTACCCATGACAATCCCAGCCGCTAAGCAGAGACCCAAGGGCTACACCAGTCAGCCCAGTTAGAACAGACACAGCCTGTTACCAGAGACACACGGGCTGCGTGGTCAGCGTGTGGCTGAACAACCGAGAGCTTTAACTTAGCAGAGATCTTTCTGCCGTATATACCTGTATGTGAAATACGAGTGGGCACCACTTGTTAATGGATAAATCTAAAGAGCTGCACCAGAACATGCAGCTTCCAATGGACAAGAGAGCTACTAGCAATTACTATCACAAGACAAAAATACAAACAAAAATGATTTTACGATTGAAGCAAAAAGGATTAAGGGCACAGCCCAGCCATCCTGCCTGTACTGCCTGTGCTTCCAATGCGCCCATTCTCACCCCATCTCCTTAACAACCAAGTCAATGATTTTCTTACACTCTACGCATGTAAATCATACATTCATTTCTTTTACCTTGTTCCCACTACCAAATGAACCCTAATTTTGCACTCGGCAGCCTGTAAAAAGCCTGTCTACACACGCTGAAGGAACAGTCCATCCATCTGCCTCACCTTTCCTCCAACCAGCCCTCCCTTTCTTAAGAGCTCTTTTTCCCCCAGTCCAAGAGGGCTGCATTTGCCTTGTTCCTGTTGGATGTATTTATTGCGAGAAAGGATCACGTGAGACTGAAGGCCCAGCAAACCCCACGCTGTGTACCTTGCACAAAATGTGCTTTCTCTTTCACTAGGAAAAGGCTTACATGACATATAGTTTTTATAAATATATATCTATGAAATTTTGAAAGTAGGCAAAAAACATTATAATATCATAAGGTGGCAAGGAATACAAAAGACAACAAAAGCCACAGTGAATAGAATCCTTTTTTATTTAAAAAAAGAGGAAACTATGCTTAACACAAACTCCTTCATGAATTCTCTTTATACTTGCAGCGACACAAATTCACCATTCTGCTGACACTGTTGCTGACGCTACTGAAAAAGTCACCCAAGAAGGTTGATTTTAAAATAAAATTTTACAAGGAGAGGAAATGGGGATTTGTAACGGAACATTTCCTTCTACTAAATCACAGCATCGTTCCTGTGATGGTACAAAGTACACTTGGACTCTTTTAATTGATTTTTAAAGACGTAACATTTTTGGGCTACGTGCAACAAAGACAACCAGTTAAGAGGCAAAAATCTTGAATTATAGTTACCCAAAAAACTCTTCCCCAGAAACTATTTAGTACCAGTAAACAAGAGATTCCTGCAGTAACACAGTGTTTTTAATTTTGCTATTAATTTTTAATACTAACTTCAGATTCCATTCACTCAAGTCACAGAGGAATTAAGTATTTACAGCCATCAGTCAAACAAGGGACCTTTTCAGCTCTTTGCCCTTAGAATCATGAGGTATAAACTTTCAACTTCCATACAGAAGATATTTTTAAAACGAAGAGCACGCTTCCCAGAATAATGATGCTCTAATGCCAAACAGCAGCTCAGTTATTTTGTGTTAAGAAACCAAAGCCCTTCTTACACAATTTCAAAGCAGCAGCTGTGACTCTGAAACCAGGAATTCATCCTGGCCACCTGCTTTACAACTCGCCAAAACAAACGCGGTGGGATGGTTCCCGTGGATAACCATAGGATGGCAGGGGAGCACAGGTTGGTTGCTGTTGGGGCTTTAGGTCCTAGAGAGCTCCAGCTTCTCCGGGAGCTGGATGAGGACCTGGGAATCAAGGCACATCTGAAAGCTGGATTAATGAATTATGAAGTGCCAGACTGCAGCACTGTTACTCATGAGGAGCGAAACTTCATTGCACAGCTGAGATACATTGTTCACGGCATCAGTCACAGTATGATGCTTTATTCCCACAGCAGATGATCCTTTTCAAACAATATTATGGTCTGACTTGTAAGGTATTGTTTTCTTTGAAGAAAGTTTGTTATGCTGTTAGTTTGGGGGTTTTAATATACTCAAACCCACCCATAATAGTAATAATAGCTATCTAAAAATGGTAACTTTCAAACCACAAACTACCCTACTTTTTCTAGCCTTAATGAATGCACAAACATTGCAAAAACCAGTGCCCAGCAACATAACTTAGTGGAACCTGAGCTCTTCCCAGATTCACAGCCATAGCCAATGTAGCGGAGTGCACCTCAGGAGGTATTTCAGGGCCCAATCCTGCTCTCACCAGAGTTAATGGGGAGTCAGTGGACTGCAACAGTAGAAGAATTTGGCCCACAAAGACTCACTCATTTCTAATTCCCGGCATTATATTATATTTTCCATTCACCTGAAAGTAATCCCCTTCAGAAAAGTACACTACAAAGTACTACAGAACATATAGGAACTTTTAATATTTAAAAACAAAGAAACGTGTTCCTAAAAGTTTATTTTAATATAACATTGCTAAAGAAGGGAGGAATTAAAAAACAAACACCACACCACACAGGTCACTGCTGAGTGTCCTAGGTTCTTTTCACTTTCTACTCCTTTTTGCCTTGTTTTCCCCCTTGCACACCCCTTGTGCAGAGGCACATTTCAGACAAAGCAACCTCCTGTAACTCTAGCACTGCCGAGGTGCAAACATGCTCCTCACCGCCAGCGAAGGACCCACACCTTCATCTTCAAGGAAAAATCTCAAGTTTATTTCTTCTATTTTTTTTCTTTTCCTATAAATTACTCCTCCTTTTGATGTCTATTCTTGCTCTAAAAAAATACACACATCAGGTTAAGATGAAAACTGCCCACACGACATGTTTGTGTTTACAAGCTTAAGAGCAAGTTTCACTTGAACACAGGTCAATGCCGCTTTAAGAAAACATCACATACCAAAAGAAAAAAAAAATCACACATGGTTAGAACACATCAGGAGCAGGGAGGAACTGTGGACTCAGTCTGTGCGGCACCGAGCCAGCCCGAGAAGCCCTTTGAAGTTAGAAAAACATCCTCTGGTCAGAGCACATTTGTGAAACCGTGGGACAGGCGCTTTAAACAACATTCACTCCCGATCACCTGCAGCGTGCCAGGGGGCTGGCGCCTGGGTAACTTCAACGGCGTAACCCTTCATCGTCCATAAAGATCACTCCTATCAATAGCACACAGTCAAAAAACAGCCTGGCAAACCTGTACGGCTTCACCCTCTGCACAACGCAGCCAGTCGGTGCCAGCAGGCACCCGGAGCCTGCTGAGCCCCGCTGCTGAGCGGGACTTGGCCAGCAGAAGGCGGCGCTTTACCTGGACACAGCGGCGCCGGGATAAGAAGGCGGCATCACCCCACAAGAAGGTTGCACAAAACTCACAATCTAGTTTGGCACACAGCAGCGTGTGACACAAAATACTGTTAGTCACCAGCATCATGAGGAGCAAGATTCCTGGCTGTGAACGGCTAAGTCCAGGAGACACACACTTCCCACCACCCACACTTACAGACAGATGAGACTGAGGATCAGCAGACCGCTTTTTCAGCTGACTTCCCTCCACCCCGTTCTGCCATCACCCAGCCCACCCAGACCAGCAAGCTGTGCCAGCACCTGAAACCAAATCCCAGCCCTGACCTGGCATGTTTCAGGCTGGCACACCTCTCAGGACAGAGTATCTGTACAGATT